AAGGAGACAGAAATAGTCACATCTTTATGTTAGTGGCCTAAACAAACAATACGTACAGATCTTCTTCATTGAAAAGGAAATATACTAGAATATCAAAAAAACAAAACCAAATGGTAAACCACCTGTTGACCAGGAAGATGACATCAATATTACTATGGAATCAATTTGGATGAAGACATAAGTTTGTGGAAAAAGTTTGGAAAGGCCTTGATCTAGTAGTGAATCCATAAATGCTAGGTACAGTATGAGAGTGGTAAGATGAAGTTTGTCATAGAAGCTATTTTTTTAAAGAAATCCTTTCATAGTACTCTTAGGTAAGAATGAATATTACGTTCATTTACCTATGTTAGAAATTGCACAAACTTTTACTAAAGGCATATGCAAATGTGTTTTATTTTTCCTAGGTCTTCTTTCTGAGAAGTACTGGAGTTGCTTTGGTTCTATAACTTTGATTTGGTTTTAAAGCTTGTTTTATTGAATATGGTATCTTATTTATGAGCCAGTGGTCCTTTCTCTACATAAGACAAAGACAGAACATCTATCTGTGCTGTGGACAACCTGCTTCCGAATTTCAGACTAGGATAATAAAATTAAAGGATGCCACCTGGTCAATCTAGCTCATTTGACAGCTTGTACTTAAGTGATACAAGAATCTCCATATTGTTGTACAGAAACCATATATTTTTTAATGAAGTCAAAATATCAGCTTCAACAAAATGGCTAGGTACAGTAGCTTGTTCCAGACTCCCACAAACACTTTGTGTACAATGTCTTAGAAGTTTCAGTTTTCATCATTAGGTCCTTGTATCACTGATGATCTAGATCTGGTACACTTGGATAGTTCTGTTAATACTTTCTTTGTTAATACAGAATTTTAAATGTTTGTTTCACATTTAAACAAACTTTTGTTACAGAGCAACAGTTTTTACTGATTGAGGCATGTGGAGAAACATATTTAGGTTGTAAGTGTTAAAATAAAGTGGTTTTAAGCAGATCAGTTAAGTGTCTAGCATTCTTTCATGGGCAGAAGGTCAAAGACCTTAACTTTAGAAAAAGAGAAAATCTGACCTAAGTCATGTTATGAAACCTAACATGGACCTAACATGAATAAAATAGATGGGCTAAAAGTGAGAAAAGAGCCTTAGGCCCATGTAATTCATTTTGTTGTTACATAAACAGTTAAAAATGAGAGGAGGCCATTCTCTAATTCATGGTGGGTAAGTGATCCAAGCATCTCATCCCACTCAATTTCCAATTTTGTCTTCAGGTGGTCCTACTTCATTGATGAGCTTGAAATAAATGTAGTGGAGTAGACAAGAAAAAGATGTTCATACCTTGCAAAAAGGATGATAGTTTTAACGTGTGCTTCATTAAGAAAACTAAAGAGACAAAATGACGTAGACAATGAAGGAGATATTCATCTTCACCTAAACATCCTTTATCAGAAAACTACTGTACTCATTCCTGGTAAGAGCCATGATAGCCTTTAATGGCAGTGCAATTGGGGCTCATGCCTCATAGTTAGAAGGTAGTGGGTTCTAATTTCATTCTACTGTATCTTTAAACAGGTAAAAGGCCCCAGTATAAATTAAAGTTCATTTGCATAAAAGTATCAGGCAAAAAATTAAGAGTAATGACTCAAAGGCTATTCTGAAAGTATAGGGCTCTTAGCTAGATGACATCCTGGGTGAGACAGCAGTTAATTACTGGGCACATTTACACAAACACACAAGTGCACAGGGACAATTAAAAGGAGACACCAATTAACCTAGCCAGCATGTGTCTGAGAAGGTAAAAGGAAACTGGAACACTTGGAAAAAAACTGACATTAACATACAAACTCAACACAGAACTTGCTGAATTAGAACTGGAGAACTACCATAGCTGACAGCTGTGCAGGTTAGTAATCTTATTTATTTTTTAAAAATGTGTTTTCTTACATTACTGATTATTTGGCTGGGCAGCATGGTGTTGTAGTGCTTAGCATTGCTGTTTCCGAGGACTGGGGTCCTGGATTCAGTTCAATTCTGTATCTGTATCGTTCTGTGTATCTGCATGCAGTTTGTACAGTAGGCTCCTCCCATGTGTTTTCTTTGGTTGCTGTAGTTTGTGTGGGTTTCCTCCAGGTGCTCCACTTTCCTTCCACAGACAAAAGACATACTGGTTGGTAAACTGGAAGGTTGGCTTCTGATAAAACTGTCTCTGGTGTGAGTGTGAGTACCTGTGTGTCTATCCTATGGTGAACTGGTGTCCCATCCAGGGTGTACTCTGCCTTGTGTGTGATTAGATTTTCAGATCTTTTCTTCCAACTACTTTTCACTTTCTATACACTGTCTGCACATTACATGTATTTGACTCTAATACTTATTCTGATCAGTCTTTTCTAATTCTGATCAGTCTGGCAATTCATTGGTAGTCTTGACTTGCAAAGTATCTGGAATCAATGCAACCTGAAAGCTAATGTCATCTCCTCCTGCATTTACAGCCAGAGTTCAGGCCACAGGACAATACAGGACTAAAAGAAGAGGATTCTTCTTGCTGGCCTCTGCCCTTAAATCCTCTAACTATACTTAAGTGGGGAGTCTGAACTCTTTTCCCTCCTTTGCATGTGCTTTTTTGCTTGCTGGGTATTTATATGTATTCATACCTCAATGCATCTTTCTCTATTGCTCTTCCTTAATAGCCAACATTAGCTGCCACAGAACAGGAGGAGGCTATTTTAGGCTTTGGCAGTGAGCTTAATTAGCTACATCTAAGCTTAATTAGGCACATTCTTGAGGTCACAGATTGACAGCAAGGCCTGTTCTCTCTACCTGAAGAGAACATAAAGCAAATGAGTGAGCACAGTGCATGAGCTACAAAAAAGCTGAGCTACATGAGCTCTGTGACATTGCCGACCAGAACAGTAATTTGTAACAATATATAAAGAAAAAAACGCAAACAAAAATAAACACATCCGCTCCGAGCTTCCGAAAGATGAATAGCTGGCAAGACCTGTCCCTCTGTAGAGCATTTCAAAGATTTATGATTCAGACTTTAAAAACTGAAGGAGATTTTTTCTCTTTTTGGTACCTAAGTGTTTATTGTAACAACAGTGTAAAATGTCAAAGAAAAATGAGCAGTGTTGCTTTCTGCTTTATTAGAGTCGGCAGAGCATTACAGAGGCTGAAGGGAAGTGTGGTGGCCTTCTTTTTCAAAGGCACCCTTGTAAATGATTTTCCATTCTGGCAGTTTGTGTATGTTGGATTTTTGCTTTCCAATTTGTCTTATCTTCTTCTTTCTGAAAAATCCCTAAATCATATTATGTTATGATACCAAACACAGAGTAATTATTACCTCTGGTCCTGGCAGGAAATCTCAAAATATTTTACTGCAAAGTTAAACCCTAAACTGAAATGAACAAAAAACAAATTTGCCAAAAAACATGAAACACCTGAAATATACTGTATGCCTGGGACTAGATGGTATTACTTGTAAATCTAAAATAGTAAATGGTTATTTAAAGTATTTTAAATTTAAAAGAATGTTATAATCCTTATTAGTTTGAGCAAATTATTTTATTCAAGATGACATGCATTCAAAAAGCTCAATAGACTGTAAAAACTACAAGTGAAGAAAACCTGTACTGTATACTACCATAGATGATATAAAGTTAAGGAGATCAGCCATACAATAATTGTAACAATTAAAATATAGAAATTACACTGTTGGGATTTTACACTGATAGGCTATAAATTTTCTTTACAACAAATTCATATTTTTAAATAAATTAAATCTATGATATAGGTGAGCCATGAGCACAGGCTGAAACAGATCAATAAAAACTCAACTGAGAACAGGGATCTTCCTGCACTAAAACTTGTAAAAACTAATGTGACCATACCTGTAGATGCAGACATTGCAAACATTCCCATTCTTGTTGCTTTTGTAAAAAAAGAAATCACAAAAAATAATAATTAACAGTTTTGTAAACCATACTGGGAAAAAGTAGGGAAATGCAATTAAATTTTGTATATCATTTTTAGTTATACTTACCTTTTTCATTAATTCATCAATCTGTGAATTTCTGCACGGATTTCAAACTACGTTCGGGTGTGAGGAACACTAACCAGGTCACTCTTATATCTTAAACGTCCCCAGAATTATTTTATGATACAAAATACAAGACCAAAGTTTTAATCTGCAATAGATGTTCATTAAGACAAAGGACTTTTACACAACTTTCCATTTAATCAAAATAATTATATTCAACTAAATTAAAGCCACATCAAAGGGTTTGAATACTTTTGCAACTGTGACATTTCCATTTTTCTTAAAGATTAATAATTATCTACTTTTTTGCTTTTTCTTTGAACATGTGGAATAGGTTGTGTATACAACAAATATTAATGACTTGTTTAAAGTTTCATTGCTACAGCCTTTAATATAACTAAATGTGAAAGGGGTCTGAATACTTTTATATGGCACTGCATGTACAGTATGTATATCATGTATATCTCAATTTGTATAGCTAGAATTTTAATTACATCTGTCCTTTTGTTCACTTAAATATTTTGATCTTAAGTTCTCACACTCATATCTCAATACCCCAATATTAATTAGTAGGAATCCTGAGAACTACTTTTTTGGCAGTGCACATCTTTGTAAGTATTCAAAATCTAGGAAGAGCCCAGATTGTGATTTAAAATAACTAACCAACAAATCATCAGGAAATATTTAAAGAGGCCTTTTGGATGTCATTTCAAAAGTATTAAAATACAACTAATGAAAAATTGTCAAATTTGCACATGTATCCAACAAATATTTTAATTTGTACTGTTAATGTACACTTTGACTTTCTATCACAAACTCTTGCTAAGTGTTTAAAAAACTTAACTGATATAAATATTAGTCTCAAAGAACTAAAGTTTAAGAAACATACTATACATATAAAAAGACAGTTATAAAAAGATCATACCTAATTTTACAATAACAACAAAGTTAGCAAAGCCATGAAAAAATACAACAATTACAATACAACAATCTCCAAAATTCAAACAATTGTCAACTTACAGTATATGAGGTTTACTTTTCAGAAATGAAACAATGTTGGCCTTTCTGTGAGTCATGTACTTAAAAACCCTTACTAGACAGCAGCTTTTTCATCTTCAAGGGCTTTTTGCAGAGGCATCAAGTACTGGGTTTTGAAATTTGCATCTGGTCATTGTTGAAGTTTTGATTTAATCGGAGCTGAAGTGTGAACATCTTGGTTTTTGGACCTTATCAAAATACAACAAAGCACAGAAATTCCCTTTGTACTGTAGATTCATCACATATTTCTGTTGCCTGTGTAACAGGGGTCATTTAGCACTGAGCATCATAGAGGTGACACCACCCCCCTCGGAACCTTAATAGCACTGAAATCTCCCATAGCAGGAAGCCAGGTCTTTTAGCGGAGCTGAACTCTCTGCTGTCTGGGGAGTGGCACTGCGTGGCTCAGAAGCCGGAAGTTGCCATGAGAAGCCGTGATTGAATCCCGTTGGGAACAGAGCTACACTTGTCACATGTTTTCGGAAAAATGATTTATTGCACCTGCGGCCCTCCCTCTCAATTCCCTTAACTGCATCCTCCATCATGTCTAGTAGATAAAAACAAGTGATTTAACAATGTTATTTATAAACTAAAAACAATCACTATGTTTGTATTCTTGTTTCTTGTCTGAATGCAGCTCCAATTTCACAGCTGAGCTGCACTTTGAGATGTACATAGTTGCCACAGAACAGGCATAAATAGATTTTGCCACTTGAATGGCAGCTAATGGTACAGGTTGTGGCAGCTGGGAGTTGCTCGAGGATGTGTTTTTCAAATTATGTAATTTTTATTATGAATATTTTTATAACCAAGCACAACCTGACATTTCGTTAAATGATGCCTTGGATATGACAAGTACCGTGCCTGATAAAAAGGACTAATTTGAAAACGTATTCATCTCAATGGCTATGACAAAACACCGACCAATTTGTTGGCAGTTGTTCTCAGATTGTATTAGTCCCTCACACCTACTGGGGAGATCTCTACATTTTTATCCAAGGCTGTAGGTACTCAGTAGGTACAGCACTTATCAAGGCAGTAACCTGAGTTGACATTTAATGACAAAATGCTGTCATGAAAAGGTATTTGAGTTTCTTTATGTCAGTATAGAAATATTTTACAAAAGTTCACTTCAAGTCATACTAAATCATACTAAATTGTAGTACCTAATTTCTGTTTTGGACAAAATTCCATCTAATTAGTATCACTTGGTAGTATTCTTGCTAACTCAAGGGTTCTCCATTTGCTTCGTTTTCTTTAAGCTCTTCAGAATGGCATGGTTCAAAATTCTTTACTATTTTGCTGTACCTTTTAAACAGGGTTAAACCTGTTTCAATATGAGTTACTGACCAAGAATATATGGGGTCTACTAACCAAGGAAATAGAGTAATTGCTGTGTTTTAGAAACTATCCAGAATTCTCACTGTAAGTTGGTCATCTTTAGCCTGTGTTCTCCTTATCAGTTAAAAATAGTAGTGCTGATTAAATAAACTCTTAATACATTGAACAATAAATACTGGATATAGATAAGACATTTATCTATATAGATAAGAAGGGCCTCAGGTTTATATCCCCTATGGAAGATGGTGTCTAGGAACCCGATCATGCCACGGGTGTATGGTGGAGCTCAATGGCAAAGCTGCGTCTTGAACCAAGAATGTTCTGCCTTTTCTTTTCTCGAGGATTTTTTTCGCTGATCCAACACGTGTATTGCTCACCTTTGCCTTAGCTGGCGGGCCCTCAAGGACGGGAGAGCACATGATGGGGAAAAATATCCTGTCCTTTACTTGTAAAGAGTCAGAAACTCCAGCTCACATGCAGCTCTGTAATGCTCACTGTCACTAAATCCATCCCTGGGCCCTGATCTGTGGAGGAGTAGACCGACAGATTGAGGGCGTCAGTCTGCAATGCTGGCACTCCCTCACCTTTCAAAAGAACAACAGTTCTAGCAGGATTAATTTTTCCTCAGGGCTGCTTCTTCCAGTCAAGCAGGCACCCAGTGGTTGCGTTCACCTTCGTGCTGAAACGCTGGCAGTGTCCGATATTATTTCTGGAGGGCCTGGGGCAATCTTCGCCCTCCTGCAATCCTTCACTTCTGGGCACTTTGACATGTTTTATATAAAAGCAATACATCAAAGAAGTGATATTTCAAAGGTGGCGCTTACCACTGACTCCAGAGCCAAGCAAGGTGAAGCCAAATAATGGCAGTGATACTTCAAAGCAATCCTTTGCTACTTTTATTAGCTGCTAAAAAAGAAACAAGTATATAAATCTAAACCAGAAGAAACAGTCGTGAAACATGCTACAGATATTTTCTTCTCTGTATCATTTTTAAGAAAATATACCCTGGGCATGGCTGTTTGTGATCTCCTGGTGGTTAGAGACACACAGAATGTCCACTTCATGTTGTTAAGAATTGAGGTCTTTTAATTTCTGTAAATACTTGTTTACAAATATGTTGATTGTATGCCTCTTCTCTATACACAGCCATGACCTTCTTTGCAATTTCATCTTTTTTATTTTAAGTTCTTAAACATGTAATTAACTAGTATGCTGTGTGGGAAATCAAACATATGTATCCATAATTCAAAGCCTCAGTTGCATTATTTGGGGAATTAATAATAGAGGCTGTTCAGTGGATCTCATCAAAGCTTTGAAGAAGGCTTGTACTTCAATACTTGGTTTAGAAGAGCTTCCTTTTTTAATAATTAAAGCATTGCTCATGCTTTATGAAGAGCTCCTCAGAAGAAGCAGCATTATTAAAAGGATTTCTCAATACAGAACTAGCCCGGACTCAACCAATGCAGGTCTATACTGAATCCAACAAGTGCTGTGAGCATACAGTACTCCTAGGAGAAAGAAGACAACACCATATCTGACCTGCTTTCCCAGAGGTGTTTGCGTAACACAATGGATCACTAGATTTTTCACACTTCAGTTTCTACCGTACTCTTGGAGACATGGAAACAAAAAACAGATATCATAAATAGATATTAGGTATATAAAATATTAACATAAAATAGAAGATAAATTCTGTGCAGTAAAAAATCAAATTAAAAGACACTAAGTTAAGAACTTTAAACTAAGTGAACATTTACAGTATACATGAGTGCACCTACAGTACGTAAATAGCATTAGTCCATATGCCAACAATGGAATATGGACTAAGTGGACGAAGTGGACTCTCCTTCAGTAATTTCTGAATGTTGTACTTTCTTTTTGTTGATGACAGCAACTTCTGTGCATTCAGTAAGCCCCACAGTTAAAATGGTATATTCATAGCTTTGACTTATAAGTACCCTCTGAAATACTAGAAATAACAAAAACATATCTTTCCCTGTCTAGCTCCAGCAGCAACTCACTATTTCAACAAAAGAGGGGACTTTATATCGAACATCTCTTATGTGCCTTTTAGATGTTGTCTACATCTGGCCTTGTCTAGATACCAGAAGTAGATCTAGTGCTTGTGACCTAGGCTTTCAGTCACTCAAGAGAAAATACGTGGACCAGGCCTTTTTCTTACTGAACCAAGGTAGATAATCATACACAACAATCTTGTGTGTTAAACTGAATGAACATTAGTTCTATTTAAACAGAAGTACTATACAGATGCCTTTCAGAACATTCAATCAGGAGAAACATTTATAACAGTTAATCTGCTACATTTTTAAAATGTAGAAAACCTCTACACATTCCAGACTATAAAGTCAGAAAGTTTGTCTTGAGCACTTAAAAATTCTTGTGCTCTAATTGGCAATTATAATGCAGTCTAAAAGACAGCTACTCGTGCATCACTTACCGATTAGGCGCAAGATGTTTTTTAATGATAAACAATCTTTCAACAGCTGGAAATTATCATTACAGTGGTCTGTTTCAATATCATCAAAAACATTCTGCTTCTTCGGCCTCGTGATGTTACAAACTCAGGGTTGAAGCAATTAAGAGGTCCTAAATATGGATTTTGGATCACATGCATATTTATGTACATCTATAGAACTATATACTGCACATACAGTATATTGCCAAATGTGTTCTAAATTTTCAGTATAAGGGATAATAAGAATTATCAGTATTTTTGCCAAACAGAAAACAGTATTTACAGCACCTGCTATACAGTAGGTAATTCTTTGAGACTAGTTAGAAGAGAAGCATAAAACTCAGCCAAAGGTGTATTAAGATGCATAAAGATAAGGTCCAAACATTAATACACTAGTAAAAATAATGAGGCCAAAATGAACTGGAGCCACAAATGTGATTTCACAAAGGAGTGTGGGGTAATGTTCTACCTGTTGCTTGGTTTAGAGTGATTGTTTTCTGTTGGACAATTTAGAGTCAGCATCATGTACAGTATGTAAAAGAGCTACTTTGGTACTTCAGTTAAATAAGTTGATTGTGGTTTAGTTTCCATGTACTTAATTATGGATAGCTCTGAACACACCTCTAGGTATCTGATCTACACAGCCAAACCTTATGTTAAAAACACTGTAGCACACCCACTCTTTCACCACAGGGGGCCTAAAGGCTATCAGTACTTCAGAAGTCCTGGGGAATGACATCATAACAGACATATCGTACAATATGAGACCTCCTTACATAGAATCATTGTTTTCTATTGCTTTCTTTACTTCTGCTACAAGATTAATATAAAATTTATTAGGAACTGAGAAACAGACACAGGGAATAATATCTTGTTTTTTTATTTCTTTATCCTTCCTTTTCTTATCTCTCTACAGAGCATATGAAATTATGTAATGTACTAAGTACTAATACTGCTTAATATGTATAAATATAATAATGTATTTAATTTGAGGCAATGCACAACCTGTACCTTCTGACTTAATGACAACTCTCAATTTACTCTCCGCTCTTTCATTTCTTCACTATCTTGCTCTTTTTCTCCCTCAAACTTCGTTCAGACATCTCCTACAGTATATCTTTGGACTACAACCCTACCCTCCACATGTCTGTTTCAGCAAACTGTCCTTTGTTAACACTCACCTGGGCATCACTGGCTCTGCTCCCACCTGGATCTCATTCCTATTCCCATCACATTTTAACTCCAGCCCTCTTATGACATTTTTTACTGAACCATATTCTCTTGACCCACCCTTTCCTCATTAAATTGTCAGTACCACTTTTAGCTCTGTCCCTTGCCTGGACTATAGCAACACTTTCCAAGCCAGGAAGATGACTGCTGCTAATCTGTATTTTTTGTGACTCTTTTCATTATGCTACACTGTTTCTCCAGTCCCTCCATTTGCTCCCTGTAGCTGCACACATCTGTTACAAAACACTTGTTCTCCCCTACCAAGTCTTAACCTTTGCCCCAGTCTATCTCTCGTCCCTCATTTCCTCCTCTACACTCTCCACTCCACTGCAAAAATATCTGTTCCTTCTCTCCATTCCCCAACCTCCAGTGTCATTCATTCTCATCCCTTGTTCTGCAGTGGAAAAATTGATAACATTAAAATCAGCTGCTCAGTCTCTGACCTCCTTTTGGCATCTCCTCAGGACACATCTGTTTAGACATCACATGTGGTTTCTCTCATACTGCTGTGAATTCTTACCACTAGGTGTGTGACAGAAGAGTCTGTCACGGGGTACAGATAGCACAGAAAATACAACATTCATACACCTTCCATTGAGCTGTTGCTAGATAAGTTCCTGAGGGTGCAAACTCAGGGATTAACTAGTAACTACTATTACTTAATTTCATATACATTCACATACATAAACATACCTAATTTCACATACATTCAAATACTTAAACACAGGTATGAGTGAGTATTGTGGTGTGAATAGAGAGCGCTCTCCAAATAGATGTTACTTACTGTTTGTTTGGTGTTGGTACTTCTGGGGTGAGTCAGCCTATGGTGGCCTCAAAAGGCCAAACCTAACCCCAGTTCTCAAGGGTTTTTTATGGAAAGGGGAAAAACCACTTTGAATTGTGGAAATGGTTTGATCCAGAGGGGGAGGGGCTTACAAGCTATTTAAGCTGGCTCCTCAGCCTAAGGTGTCTTTTTTTGTTGGTTGTTGGTGGTTAGATAGAGAGATAGAGGATTTACCTTTATTTGAATAATTAGTTTTGTTTTCTGGTGTTGGGGACTGGGAGCACTGTAAATAGACTGCACTTGTTTGCTTGGGTGCTATTGTGGCGGAGCCAGATTGAGATAAAACGGACCTACTTTGGCCTTGCTCAGGCCATTGTGTGATAAGGTGATTCTGTACAACACCCTGTTTAAATTCCTTCTTTGCTGCAATCAATTTCCTACACAATGTTTACGCTTCAGTAGACATTGTTTACACTCTGATCTGCTCAAGCTTCTAATGTGTTATATTTTTCTTGTCACTTGTACTTTAACCTGTTTTTGTTTTTTGTTGTATTGGAATTATTTCCTTTTTGTGTTTACTTTGTCTAATTGTGCACTGCATATCATAAGTCAGTGTGAATATGGACACTGGTTAAGTTAACAATAATAACAAATTAAGTTGGATTTAAAAACACCAGTCTTCAAAACATGACATTGCAACTTTATGGCTATTATAAGCTTGAATATCCTTTGCTATACTTATCTAACTCAACTTAAAGTGAACAGAATTACTTCATATTCCATTTCATAAAATGATATGGTCTTCACCCCTGCTTTCAATGGCCTTGAAAATGCAGGCATCTGGTCTTTCAGGCTGTAGCATGAAATAGACATTAGATTCCCCTTGCTATCTACACAATGCAGAAATTGTATTAATCATTCTCACACATTCTATATCCTTCCCAGGAATAATCAGTCTTATGAAATACAAAACAGCGTGAATCCTGTATTTTTCCCATCAATAACATTGAATGCATATCCTACTTTCAGGTTCCACTAAAAAGTGAAATATGACCATTTAGAAACTGATGTAAGTCAAATATTGAGCAAGAGCTTGCAGGTTTGTAAAAGTGAATACGGCAGCCATGCCATGCTGCTCTTCCACAAGAGCTGCTAACCACTGCTTTCAAAACAACCAAAATTCAGAGCCAGGCACTCACCATGACACTCTGAGTTTTTAATCCACTGCCAGAAATGTAAGACTGTTGAGACGTGCAATCTTTTTGAAGAAAATAATGTAAACCCCAAATTTTATTTGTTTTCATTCCAACTTAAATTTTTGTATCTACTAAAAATAGAAGATTTTAAGTTATTTCTGAAATGTATCATCAATCATGTTAATGAGCAAATGTTGGCATTTTAAAGCCATGCTTACTAAG